ACATTTTCTGCAGCAGACAGCATTTAGGTCTGCTTTATGCCAACTTCCAATTTTTCGATTGTTACTATGTTTCTTGCAAATTCCGTAACCTATTCTCCTAGCTTAGGACTTTATTCTGTGCTGGACCGGAAAAATTTATTCAAATTACTGCTATATTTTAACAGAAGTATATATTAGTCTTTGGGGGCTTAATTTTGATGTACCTGGATGCATCAGAGCAGCAAAAAAATTGAGCAAGCGTATTATAGTAATGCTTTTATATTTCGAACCTCTATACGAACTTCCGCTTGCTTTTAATGTTAGTGATACATTTATTCATCCATCATGAATTGAAGAGAAGGCTAAATTTTACCTAGTAATTCCTTGTTAGGGGGACTTCAATTTCGTATGAAGGTTCATGAAGAAGAGATTCGTTGGTAGATCTCACCAGAAAAGGACGGATGAATCCCGTTCTACTGCAGCCATTTGGCTTTTATACGACGCTTAGGTTGACACAGTCCACTAGACTTCCTCCCTCGTTTAAGGTGAAAATGGGCTGAGCTTTCGTCTGTCATATGATGGACATCATCAGAGCTAGGTCCCATTCCTGTAAAAGTCTCACGTTAACAGTAGGACGAGAAAACTATTTGGCTCTATCATACCTCTTATATAGACTCAATTAAGCCTTAAGAAAATTAAAAACCTAGATAGACATAGAGCGGTTTGGCTAATTATCTTTTATACTGGTCCTGCTACTTTTACTCCAGGGTGTGTGTGTGTGTGTTAGCGTTTATACGCAATACCGGTCTTAAATCAGAGTTATCAAAAGGCTAATGTCAGGCTCCGATCATCAAGGCCTAATGACCCAAGAGAAAGCTCTGACCGAGACTGCGTAAATTAGTTAGCAATTATGGTTGAGATAATGAGTTTGTAAGACGTAAGCCAAGTTACGAAACCAATTGTCTTAACCTCTCTTCGTATCTAGTAATACCTGTTTCCTTTGTGTCTAAATAATTTGCCATTTTTTTTATTGGATTTCACTTTAATCTGCAATTTCGATGAAATTGCAACCAAGATTGTGTCGCTCGAGGTATAAGAAGTTCACAATCCAATCACACCTGAATATCGATTTATTAGGCTCCGGTGGTCATGTTCTTCAGGCTGGACCCGATGATCTATCTTTTCACTCATTTTGGTATCTGAAAACTCGCCTCTTTCCTTCATACTCTAATTGGACGTCTACTGAAATGGCAGTTCCTTCTGATTAAATATCAATTAGTCAGAGCCTCTCTTTAATTAATAGTTGGCAAACTAGTGCTTTCGACAGTAAGCGACCGGCGATGCAAACCTAGGTTGGATTTTGTAAAGCGTTTCATAAATTACTGTTAATAAGGAGGTTTGTGCTATTGAAATATCCGATGTAGGATGCTATAGTTCACCTCAGTTTCAGTCAATATTTCGCAAAAACAATCCACTTGAACAGTTTATCCACTGCAAAACATTTATGGGTTTTTCTGCGGAGGCGCTTGAAAATCCCATTACATAAGTTTCCTGCACAATATCATAACAACCAGATTTAGACGATTTGTCCTTCATGCATTTATCTCTTATACTAACGACAGTTCATTATATCCTCTTCAGGCTCCTAATCGTCCGGAATCTTCTGGACGAAAGGTTTTGCCTGTTGCCGAGTCATCAGCCTCCAAGGTCAACTTTGCAGCCCATCCACTATGTCGTTCTTTTAAATCGGTAGAATATGAGGCCCTACAGCCCAGAAACAGTGATGCCAAGTCCTTCCTCAGTCCGATATTCTTCTTGTTTAGGTTGGTGCGCGCCAGCTTGCTCGAGCAAGCCGCCCTCAACACTGGCCCTCCGGAGACAGATTCTACTCAAATGACTGGCTCGGATGCTTTTACCGCAACTGGCAAGACATTTTTACATGATCTACTGCCTCAAATGTCTGAGTCCGGTGATCTCAAAGCTGAGGCTGGCTGTACGGCCGGCATCAGTAGCGTGCCAATGGGTAACTGTAGTGGCAATATGGCGTCAAGTCGAGGAGACGGAAAAAGTCTCCGCGCCAAGAAATGGGCTATATGGGCTCTCGAACTCTGGCTGCTGGCTCTTCGAAGCCTTTCCCGCCTTGGACACCACTTCGACTTGTGGCCGTGTGAAAATTCGGCAGATTTGGAATCAACTGTCAAGGCTGAAACCCTCGGCATTGCCACATCTGTTGATGGGGACCGTTCACTGCTCAACGATAGGCGATCTCAGCGGGACCAGTTGGCCGCCAAGCTAAATTGCAGTCTTGACGAGGCCGTTATGGTGGTGCGCCAACGGGGCGAGGACCCTACACGACATATCGGTCTGCTCGTCTGTCATTGTCTTGTGACAGCCGTTTCGTCTCCAGACGGCTTCCAAATTCTCTACCATGCGATGGCTTCTCTTGCTGTGGGCATGGTTCATCAGACTGGCTACTTTCGTCGTATGATCGCAATAATATGTGATCTGGCTGATTTCCACCGGTTAGTACAACACTCACTGGTGCTAGTCGTGTCATCCGTTAACCTTTGCAGGAAAATGCTTTTTTATGGTTAAACTATTCTTTGTGGGCTCTGCAACCGAGATCAATTTAACTGTAGTGAATGGCCCAGTTAGGATTAGCATGGCGCCTCTTTGGAACGTCTCATTAAACACATACTGTATGTAAGATAAAAGGATAAATTCTTGGACCATACTCTATGAATGCGGATTCACAAAAATGTGAGATGAGTCGTGCCCTCGTTTATCCCACAGATGATTTCATTAGATAACATTTACATGTTTCATGCTTTTTAATCAACCCCAAGGAATAATAAGTTGATTTACATTTGCCTTCTAACTATACAGACTAGGCTTTGGAATCCTTATCCCTTGTTTTTTCAGACTCGGATGTAATGCCCTTAACCTTTGTCTGGACGCGATTTTGAACTCTTTTCCAGTAGTTGCGCGTAAGGTAGTTCTTTGAATTTCCAGAATATTACGGCCTTCGACACTCATTTTGATGTATGATGCATGGATGGAGAATATGTGGTATTTATTAATCATGACGACAGTGAAACACAATAATTAATATCACAGTAATGTTTAAAACTATCCTCATTTCGCATGTAATTTTTAAGCAAGCTTTGAGTTGAGCTAGTTGAAGAAAGATTTTTGTTATGAAGACCAAGATTGTGGGGCTTTCTGTTTCGTCGCAGTCTCTTTTAGCTTTATAAAGTTCGTTTGACCTTGTTTTCGCAACTTGGTCGGAGTGTCAGGGAGACCCTGTGGAACGTACCTTGCCATGGCATTCGTGATTTCCAGTAAACGTTTGGAAATGTACCAAGTAAATGGTGCGAAGCTGGAAATCACGAATACTAAGATAGAGGACAAAGGACTAGATACGTTCCACAAGGCCTTCCTGACCAAGTTGCAAAGACAAGGTCGCATCAACACAGGAAAGACTTTGTTAGTTTGGCCTCGTTTTCGAGGACAGTTGGCCAAAGGATGGGCTTCACTTATCTCCGATGAGTTGTAATGTGGCGGTAATACTGGCAATGATTACTGCCTATGCCGACTACGATGTCGGCAAAGCATCTGAGAATGTATCAAGTTCATAGCACGATGCTGAAAATTATCATGTATAATATGTCAAAAGGACTATGGATAAGATGCATCGATCTAAGTCCCCCCAGACTTTAATTTCGTATGAAAGTTCATGAAGAAGAGATAGGTAGGTAGATCTCACCAGAAAAAGACGGATGAATCCCGTTGTACTGCAGCCGTTTGGCTTTAATACGACGTTCAGGTTGACGCAGTCCACGAGACCTTTGTTTCAGGTGAAAACGGGCTTTGCTTTTGTCCGTCATATGATGGAGATCATCAGAGCTGGGTCCCATTCCTGTAAAAGTCACAAGTTAACACTAGGGCAAGAAGACTATTTGACTCTATCTTGCCTCTTATATAGACTCAATTAAGCCAAAAGAATATTAAAAACCTAGATAGATATAGAGTGGTCTGGCTAATTATTTTTCAAACTGGTCCTGCTACTTTTGCTCGAATGTGTGTGTGTATGTATGTATGTGTTAACGTTCATACGCAATACTAGTCTCAAATCAGAGTTATCAAAAGGATTATGTCAGGCTCTGATTATCAAGGCCTGATGACCCAAGAAAAAGCCCTGATTGAGACTGTGTAAGTCCGTGAGCAAGTATGGTTGATATAATGAGATATGAGCTTGTAAACATATAAGTCAAATTACAAAACGACTTTTCCTAACCTCTCAGTCTAGGGTCATTAACGTTTAACCCCCCAAGGAAAAGCATACCTGGGGCTACGTAATCTAACACGTCTGGTTTGGTTGATGAACTTAATTTAACATGTTGGACGAATGTGAGTGTGGTTAGAACCATCTCCAAGCCGACAAATTGAGTCGCATTTTTTTGGACGGTTGCTCAGGACCCTCTCTCTCCTTTAATATATCAATCAAGTATAAGTAGTTCCTACTCAATTTTTTATCACCTTTCTTCACATTCAACGTATTTCCTAATCTATTAATTTCAATAGCCTCTCTTATCTTTCTTTTAACCACAGACGTACCATAATCAGCAAACGTACTAGTTTAAGACCATTCTATCTCATGTCTAGTTTCTGCCATGTGTTCAGCCACTTCTAACCATTGCAGCCAGGTTCCTTTACAAGCATTTTTGTGTTCTTACATCTACCACATGAGCAAACAATCTTGTAGCAGCCGGATCTCGATAATGGGTCATATTTCTCTCTAAATGATGGCATAGCAGAAGAAAGTGTGAGGGTTTCTTTTAGCACTGTTTTTATCCCCTGTTTTTTTACTAATTCGATTTTTTTAAAAGAAGGCATGACAGCAAAATGAGGACATGGGAATAGTTATTAGTCTGTCTATCTTTGACTAAATGGTCTCCGTCTGAAAATTTATTCCTTAATAGAGAGATATTATTCTCAATCAGGCCCGAGGGATAATTATTTTCCAGGAATACATTTGTCAGCCATTCCGACTCCTTTAGTCAAATGTTTTCTGTCCGCTAGACTCATACTTCTAATAATCCTTTAACTTAAAAATTCCAACCTTACTCTTATAACTATGGTTGGAAAAAAAATTAAGGAAAGAGCTTCCTATAAACATCCCTTCTTAACTTACCCTCTTCTCTAATAATGAAAACATCTAGAAAGGGTAAAGACTTATTTTCTTCCATTTCCATTGTGAACCTAATGTTCCTTTCACGCTGGCTGAGTGAAAGTATAAAACTATCTAAACTTTCCTTACAATGAGGCCAAATGACAAAATAGTCATCAATGCATCTAACCAACAATTTAGCGGTTAATAATGCAAGTTCTAAGTAGAGTTCCTCAAATTTTGCCATATAGTTATTCACCAAGCTTGAAGCTAAGCAATATCCCATCACAAGTCCTTATGTTTGTTCGTATAACTTGCCATCAAAGGTGAAACATGTGCTACTCATGGAAAGGTTGATAAGTCTAATTATGTAAGCTATACTCAGCCTTATTCATTGTGTTACCTTTGGCTGCTTCTACAGAGTTTGTATCAGAACTTGAATAGCTCTTTTAACATGAATGTTTGTGTACATATACACAACATCTAAACTTACTAGCCTACTCTCATCTGAAAGTATCTGATGATCAATCAATTTCACAAAATCATAAGAATTTTAAACTAAATGTAGCAAAAGATTGGCTGTTTTCCTTTGAAGTATACATAAAAAACTGGAAATTGTATGCATCACGCTTCCTTTATTATTTACAATTAATCTTAGAAGGACACCCTACTTGTGAATCTTAGGGAGACCGCAAGCCGTGAGAACTCTTGCATCTCTCTGGAGTATTGAATTCATTTTACACTTATATTTTTCATAATTACTTTCGCATACCCCAAGGGCATCCTTTAGCCTAGTCTTAAGTCTTTCTGTTGGATCTTTCAGGAAAGGCCTATGGGTGTCATTGCCATTTAAATGGACTGGTATTTTTTATACATAGCTTGACCTAGCCATGACTACCACTTTTC